ATTAAGATGTCAAAAGAAACTTTGTGTATCAAAGTTAACAAGATATAAAGTTTGTCTTAACAAAAGTGTCAAAAAAACTTTAAGGTGTAAAAATTAAAAAGGTGTGGACTTTTAGGTATCTAATTGCCTGGAACCTTTGGTATTAAAGTTAAAATGTGTAAAGTTTAGATTACCAAAGTGTAAATAATCTTTTTTTAGCAATATGAGTTTTAAGAGAGAAATCATAACTAAGAGCTATTTTCATCATTAAGGGACAAAAATGTAAGACCCCTTACAATTTGAGAGACTAATAAGCAATTATTGAGATTTGAAAGACTAATATGGAATTATTGAAGTTGTGAGGGACTAATTTTTGAAACATTAATATGCTTAAAATTAATTTTTTGGGCTTTATGTACAACACAACTACCAAAGGCATTAGAATTATCCTAATGCTTAAATCATTATTTTTAAAAATTTTCCTATACTAATTTATCAATGATACGAAATCAAAAAATATTTTCATTGTCAAGCTTATTTTTTAAGCAAATGCTTAAAGCATTTTTTTTGTTCGTTCACACTAATTTACCTATATTATAAATCCTAAAGATATTTTTTTATCCACTAATTAAAAAAAAAATTCTAAATAAATTACTTAACCATTATTTTTTAATTTCATCACAAATAATTATTGAAGAGGTAATTTTTTGTTCTTTTATATATAACCTACAATTTATGTTGTTCACTTAAAATCCGCCTATTTAGGAAAAAAAATTCTATACTAGCCACTTAGATGTTTTATATTATGAAATTAATCTCCTAATTTGTCGAAATAGGTCAAGCAATTCTTAAGTTATTACGAAATAGATCCCTTAATTCATTAAAATTATTGTTAGGTCCCTTAATTCTTAAGTTATTTTGAAATTAGTCTCTGTTATCAATGGCAAGATGTAGAAACTAGAGAGACTAATTTGAAAATATTATGAGAACTATGAAAGTTAATAGCGATTCAATAACTTGAGGGCCTAATTTCAATATAAGTTTAGCATTTGGGAACCCAGTAGAAATTTTAATGATCTGAGCGACTCAATTCAAAAATGAAAGATTCAAGGAATTAATATCAAGAAACCTAAAAAAAGGTTTTTAGCTATAAACCCAAAACTTTATCCTCGTTTACTTTTAAACCCACTCACTTCCGAAATCACTCTTAGTGCTAATTAATTCACCCAAACTTTTACCCAAATTACTTATAAACCCATTCATTTCCCAAAAGGTTTTTTATGCACTAAACCCAAGGCTATACCAGCATCTTTTCTAGATCCACTCACTTTGAAAATCACTCTTACACCAAAATACTCCACCCAGTTTTGTATTTTACCAATTTAGTATGCAGTGAAAGATGCTATATCATCTTGATATTTTTTACAAGTGATTAGGTGTGTGATGTGACTAAATATTTTAACTACTATGCCGTTCACGTATATCAAATATGATGTGTTCTTGCATGCTAGAAATGACATTTCCACTTCTAATCAATTCCCACTCAACGTGGCACTTACTATTCCCAATGGGGTATCAAGAAATCGATATTCCCACTCAAGTGAGAATGAAAACAATACAATAAATTTCTGATATACCCTTCTTAAAGATATTCCAATTTAATTATATAATCGCACCCAAACATGAAAATAGAGATGATCATTCCATTCTCACATTAGTTCCATTTCATTCATACATTCGTTTTTCCGTTCTCACATACCAAACGAGGTGTTATATCTTTGGCTTCCTCACGCTAATGTGGTGCCTTCGCCAGATGTATTTTTTCGCCTATAAATCCAAAGCTCTATCCCTCGCTCACTCTTTAATAAGAGTTTTTACCTATAAACCAAAAGATTTACCAATGTTTACTTTTAGACCACCAAATTTCTAAATCACCTTAGATCCAATATACTTGAAAGAATATTTTTAACCCACTTTGAACTTGCTATATTGTTATTAACATGGTTACATGTACAACCAAAATATTTAAATTATTTTTACTGGTTTCCAGGAGGTATCCCCGCATCTTATTATAGATGTGACTAATCTTCGCTCACGCTTCGTAACTGACACTGGCCCGAATGTTTTTTACCTGCTGGGGTTTGAACACGGGACTAGCCTGCTATGAAGCGTCTCCCAACAAGGACGCATCGGGGACACTGCGCCAACGCCATGGTTAAATATTTAAATTATTATTGTTTAGCTTTTTTCACATGGACGCCGAGGCGTCGTGCGAGTCAATTTTGTTTGCATTCAAACTAAGCTGTACAAACTACTTCTGTACTGTTGTATATAAAATTATAGGATCCTTCTACTTATATTGCAATTAAAAGTTGATAAACTGTAAGGACTCTTTTGAGCCATCTAACCTATAATTTCTTTCTTTATAAGTCATTAAGGACTCCACAATCTTTAGGAATAGTTTGGAAAAGTATGGAGTAGTTATCACTTCTCAGTTTGTCATGCACTTATTATTTGTAAACGACTTAGATTATTATAATTGATATTGTTAGAGTTATTTAGTTCAGTTTTAGAACTCTGTAAGTCACAACTATAATAAGAGTTAAGAGAGTTAAAACTGTATGTATTTTGGTTAGCTAGTAGGCTACGATGCTCAAAGGAGGCTATAAAAAAATTGCATAACACACGCACGGAGCTATGAACCTCATAAACAATCACTATTTATTATTTAAAAGGTTTTGAATATCCATTCGGAGAATCGCAAATAATAATTAAACTCACTTCAAGCCCCAAGCAATAATAATTGCACCCATGTTTCAAGCAATTGTAAAATGTTAAAACTACTCAGTAAATTAATTTTTTTTTATTTGATGAAAAAATTTCCCCTTCTTCTAAATCACCCAACCCCTGGGCAAAAAAAAAAAAAAAAAAACTATTTCTTAATAATAAAACTTCTCCATATTTCGGAACAACAAATATTTTATTTCGTTTTATTTTTTCCAGAAATGAGATCAGCTTACGACATTGACCTCAAGTAATAGTCCTAGCCTCTTTCTTCAAATGGAGCTTGCGCAACGATTTTCTAAACCCAGTCGGAAGCATGTCACGGATTGAGCAAAAAGGGAGGCTAGAATACGGACCAATTTTCAAAACCAACCTATTTCCAGATTTAATCCCAAAAAAGACCTGCTTTGAGCTTATTTTCAAAAACCAACATGGTTTCAGCTCTGGCGCTGAAACCAGGTTGGTTTTTAAAATTTTTTTTCCGAAACTTCACGGGAGTTGAACTCCCGTAAAGTTTCGCAGTTCAAATTTTTTTTTGAACTATGAAACTTCACGAGAGTTTAACTTCACGGGAGTTAAACTCCCGTGAAGTTTAGCAGCTTTACTAAACTTCACGGGAGTTCAACTCCCATGAAGTTTCGGAAGCTTTTTCACAAAAACCGACGTGGTTTAAGCGTCAGGGCTAAAACCAGATCGGTTTTTGCAAATAAGTTCAAAATAAATATTTTTTTGGGATTAAATGTTCAAAAAGGATGGTTTTGAAAATTTGTCCGCTAGAATACCTAAAGCCCATTACAGCGTGGCCCGGTAGCACCCAGTACAGCAAAAGCCCTTCAGCATCACTTGACTAGTTAAGTAAGCTCTGCCCTATTTAAACCACCAAAATTTTCTCTCCATCAAAACCCTCATCAAACTCCGGAACTCTCGACTCCCGAACCGAAGCAAAACTTCCCGCGTCTAAGTCGGTGCCCTAATCTCACCTTCTCCTCTTCCGGTCTCCAGTTTCAAGTCTCCAATGGCCCGGAAGAACCGCAGAACGCGCGGACCCGGCCGCCGATCAGCCGCCGAGCACCGACAAAGACGAAGAGCCGATGATAGGCCCCGGCCCCGTCGCTCGCCGTCAAAAACGCCCTCTTCAGTTCGAGCAGGCGTTTCTTGACGCTCTCCCCTCTGCTCACATGTATGGTTTCTGCTAGAATCTACGGTTTTGAGTTGGGGGGTTTTGATCTAGGGTTTAGTATCTAGGGTTTATTTGGTTTGGGATTAAGCAAGTTAAGGGATTAACTGAATGAAAGAGCTTTATTTGAATGGGTTCCTTTTGGGGCTTTTGATCTACGGCTTAGTTTGAAGGGTTTAATTGGCTCACGATTAAGAGGAATGATGGATTAAATTAGCCAAGAGCTTACTTAAATTTTTAAAAATTCATTTTCTTTGAAGTTTCAGTTGTTATCTAATGTGAGAATTCATTCAGGTATGAGAAGAGTTACATGCATCGGGACGTGGTCACTCATGTGGCGGTGTCAGCTGCGGAGTTTTTCATAACTGGAAGCGCTGATGGTGTGCTCTATTTCCCTTTCTAATCTTGCCTTAGCTGTAAATTCTTAGTTTCTACTGTCAGGATTTCTACTGTTCTTTTCCTATTACCTGAAGTTTACTTACCATTAATTGCCATGTAGAATAAAACTGAAAATGGGTAGTCAATTACCTATAAGTTTATTCAGGCATTTAACTGTAAGAAAGTGGAACACGCTACCTTATCAGTCGTTTACTAGTCAATGCAATCATTAATATCTTATTTAATATTTAAAACCGACCTCCATAATATTGGAGCTTTTTGATTTTTCAAATGATTGGAACGAAATTCATTGTATACCTGATGTCCATGGATAATATCACAACTAAAATTCGTCAAGGTGACTGGTGGCAGAAGGATGTAAATCATTGTTTACTTTAAAGCATAACAGCACTAGAAGGCCTGTAAATCATTGTCTTCTTCGTTCATATGTCAAACTAATAATTATTGAACTAACAATTATCATATCCTCTTTTAACAGACTTGAACCACAGCCTTTAAGTTCCATTGCAGCTGGGTGATATTTGTTTATTTGAGGCCTGAGCATATGTTTGCGCACATCATTATCCTTCATGCATTGCTTTGCTTGTCTTTATGTGTGATCCATCCGCGCATTGATCAATTTATGAACTGATTTTTCTCTCTTTTTATGCGAATTTTGTAGGGCATTTAAAGTTCTGGAAGAAAAAAGCTGCTGGAATTGAATTTGCCAAACATTTCAGAGCCCATCTGGGTCCCATTGAAGGTCTATCTGTGAGTAATTATCCGTTTGTTGCTTTCCAAGGCTTAGATTCTCTTTGAACCACAGTATCATGCCAATATGATCTTCAATATGACCTTTGTGCCTTATTTTCAAAAGTTGCTCAACATAATCATCCGATATTGGTAACAACATACAAAGGGGCTTGCTGGGTATTTTATGCAAATCACTAGCATATTTTGTTTTTCTGATTTCCGGGTTACATTGTGTGCATGTGTTGCTATTGCAAATGATTAGTATATGACGTCATTGACGTGGTAATCAAAATTTTGACTATTGTGATGCAAGTATGTTAGTTGTATTTACTTGCACCTTATAAATGATCACCATTAAAAATGAGAGCTCATAATTGAAGTACAGAAAGGATGTCAAGCGAAAATTTCTTGATTGGTAATGAAGTTTGAAACATAGGAAATCTCCATATCCTGCACTGATGCAATCCAATTTAAAGGCTTCTTATCTTACAGGCATCGTGTGCATAAATCTTGTATTTATTCAGATAGAGAAAACAGACACCCTCATTTGATAGGATTGTTCATGGGAAAGTATAGATTTTATGATCCTCATCTACAGTTCCAAAGGTTTATTTATAGTTCTCATGTACACATCAAAAAAGTTGGTTACTTGTGAATCTTATATTCTTATTTACACACGACACATGTTGGTAGTTTTATTCAGGATTTGAATCTTGTGATGAGTTGTTATGTTTGTTCCTTATGTTATGTAAGCCACTTTAGGTAGGAAAATATAGTATCTGTTAGTTAAGAATCATCGTGCATTCAGAAAAGGCTTAAAATTGTAGTACAGCAACAAGGTACATCTGATACATGTTATTATGTTAGGTACTGGGATAAGGATGTTCATCCCTTATCAGTTCTCCAGTTAGAAGTAACCTTACAAGTAGGAAATTTTATGATCCTGACACAGAATATGATACTTTAATTTTTCATATAGATTGCCGTGTCTGCTTGCATACAATGTTTTCATCCTATGTTAACCTTTCAGTTTTGTTTTTGTGGTTTTAAATTCTCAGTTCATTTGGCTGGATTTGCCATATCTTTGTACAGCACTGGATTATACTTAATTTTATTTGTTGCTCTATTATATAACCGGCTGTCAACTGTAATCGGGTTCAGTAATGCAGGTCAGTGTTGACGGTTTATATTGCTGTACAATTGCTAATGACCGGTCGCTGAAAATCTATGATGTTGTTAACTATGACATGATGCACATGATGCGACTACCGTTTGTCCCGGGTGCTGTAGAATGGGTTTACAAGCAGGGGGATGTTAAAAATAAACTTGCGGTCGGTGACCGCAACTCCTCGTTTGTTCACATATATGATGCACATGCTGATTCAAATGAGCCGATTATTTCAAGAGAGGTTTGGTATCATTTACCTGTGACTTGAATCATTCCCAAACAATCTTAGTATCCTAAACTACCAATAACACATTTATTTTATATCCTGCAGATTCACATTGGACCTTTAAAAGTTATGAAATACAACCCCGTCTATGATGTTGTCATATCAGCAGATGCTAAAGGGGTTCTGGAATACTGGTGTCCCACAACCCTTCAGTTTCCAGAAACTAAGTATGTGTTACTGAACATAGCCATTTACCCTATGTATTTCCCATCATCTATATTTTGGAGTTTTAAGCACTGATAAGTATTCATGTGTCGCTGCCTTGTTGGTAGTTAATTGGTATAACTTAAAACTGTTAATTACATTGCTAGTAATATCATCAGTTACTACGTAGTTATTGTACATTTTATATATTGGTCTCTGTTCCCATCAGAAAAAAAGAAAGAATAATTGGATTTTGAACAGTTTGCCAACATGTTCTCTTTTCCTTCTGTAATTTGCTCTAGAGAAACCTCATTGAATAACTAACTTGTCATCTCTCTATTGCGTGCAGTGTGAAATTCAAACTGAAAACTGATACAAATCTTTTTGACATTGCCAAGAGCAAGACAACAGTTTCTTCAGTTGAGGTAATAATTACAGAGTCTCCTTTTGATGGCTTATTCTGCTTCTTTGGTCCCATGACTTGATAGTTCAAGGTTACCGGTCGAATTCCAATTTATCCTAGGCGTATTCTACAAGAGCATCACAATTTTAATGAAAATACTTTTGCTGGAAAACATTTGAATTTGTTGGCAGAACCTCATTTCTTCAATTTGGAAATTGTAACTGGCTGACGTTATCTCTGGCTATACAATTCAACCTACCCAATGATCGAAGTTAGACTATAAAAAGTAACAATAAAAATGGGGAGAATTTTTACTTAAAAAAGAAATGGAGAGAGTTTTCGGTGCCATACGTATCTATTCTAAGCATATTGACATGTTTGTATGTTACTTTTTTTAATTTAGATGGTTTAAGGTTTAATAGTAAATCCCAAAAGGTTTAAAATCTGACAAATATGTCGTCTTGCAGTTTAGCATATCATTGCTTGCGGTGTTAAGGCTCTCATTTTTATGCTTTGAACTTATGATACTCCACGTGCAAGTGTTTTATACAACTGCACCCTTAGAAGTTCCAATTGAATTTGACAACAGATGCTTCTGCTAGTTTGCTTATTGTCCATTTTTATTACAATGAAATGCTGACAGAATCTGATTTAACACTTCATTTCATTCGACATTTACTTTTCTAGGTGAGCTCAGATGGCAATCAGTTTGCTGTAACATCTCCTGATCGTAGAATCCGAGTGTTTTGGTTCAAAACGGGTAAACTTAGAAGGATATATGATGAATCTCTTGAGGTAGCGTTTCATCTATGGTATTAGTTTGTGCTTCAGTTCTTTGATCTTCATGTTCCAAATGTACCACATTTTGGTGTCTTTGTTATAGGTGGCCCAGGATCTACAAAGAAGTGATTCTCCCATGTACCGGCTTGAGGCGTTTGACTTTGGCCGAAGGATGGCTGTTGAGAAGGAGATAGAGAAAACAGAAAACACACCACAACCAAATGCTGTTTTTGATGAAAGCTGCAACTTTCTTATTTATGCAACTCTATTGGGTATAAAAGTAAGCTTTTATTTGTAAATAAGTTGGATATCACTAGAGATAATGTTTCATGTTAGGTTCATCTATGTGGATTCTACTTGACCATTTATTCCCAATGAAATCAAGTCTTACTAAAAGTTCCATTTACTCTTATATGAAGCCTCTCTTTTGGTAGCCTCTTCCTTTTTCATCCTGTATATGACTTCATCCAACTGCTGTTTTGTTGGCTCTCCTATTTTTAATCCTCTATATAAGTTCATCTCAGGCCCAACTTCTGTTGAGTATTCTTTGGTGCAAGTCCCCTTTCTTCTGTCTGTAAGGAATGTCATTATCTCATTGGGTGATCAAACTTTATTAATAACAAGCATTGGATTTTCTTTACCTGTATCTCTCCCTCTTCTTATCTTCTGAACTTTGTATGGTTCCTTTCTTACTGCAATGCAAACTGAATTACAATGCTCTGATTTCTAGGCGTGTTCTCTTCTTCCATTTTACTTAATTTTTTCAAGCAACTTCTGAAGTGAATGCACTGCTGGATTTTTTGGTAGTTTCTAGATTCCTAGAATGTAAAGTTTCAGCTATCAAATTATATGCGTTTTGAGTTCAAAAACAATTGTTTTCCGAGGACTAAATATGGTATTTGATCTTTTGTTATTTTATACACGCAGTGTCTTTGTTTCTATATTTTAAGCTTAATCCTGTCCATGTTGTGCTGATATTTCTGCCTCAGTTGGAGCAGGGTTTGGTCAGCTAAGTTCCAGCTTTCTAGCCTTGCTATCAAAATGAGCTAGGATACTATGGAACATATGCAGATGTTACAATATTCTACTCAGGATTGAAAACACAATCCTTATATTCCTCAATACGCAATTAAGCATTTAGGAATATAAGTATAGCCTGGAACGAAAAGGTTGATCAATTAAGAATGAGTGTTGCCAGTCTAATTAAGAAATGAATAGTGTCTTAATTTCAAGATCAAGGTTAAAAGATTGACCAGTGCTGACACATTTCGGCTGCATTGGATCAGTGTTTGTAGCGAGCAATCCAAAATTACCTTAAAAATCAGGTTCAGAAGAAACATTGTACTTTCTGTCCTTAAACAAGATACTGCTGTTCCACCAGTTTCAGCCTGAGATTAGCTTGGACACAATAGGGTTATGGTTCTTTTAGAGGGGAAGAAGATAGGTGGCTGGAGAAGGATGACCGTTCAGTTTGTATTGGTCTTTTTATGATTTTCTTCACAACAGAGGGAATAATAAAACAAGAGAGACTTAGTTGGTGCTTGGACTTGGAGTGCAGCTGCTTTGAGCCGCTGCTGGATATGCTAACATTAATTCTAGAGTGGTCTGGAAGCCTAGAACTGAAAGTTGGACAGGGATAAGCTTTAGCCAAACTGGGCCTGACTGTGGATTTGGGTACAGCTGGTCCGAACCCATTTCTCATTCGTAGACTACTGGAATAATTGAAAGAGACTAGTTTGGCGTCAGATAAACGGATGTGGATTTTGATTCTCAAGTCAGCAGACAGAAAAGTTAACTCAACCCCTTTCCTCACTATCTTTTTTACACATAAAGCCTAACTGATGCACATTTTTTATTATTAGAAAGCTCTCTGCCTTTTAGTAAAAGCAATAGAATTTCTCAAAGAAGAAAGTTAAGCCCTTAGATACTATAAGATATGTATTAGATCAATGTCAAATAACCCCTAACTGCACCCCACCCCCACAAAAAAAAAAAAAAAACCAAGCACACACATGCACAAAATAAAAAAATAAAAATAAATAAGTACTTTTGGAATTGGATTTATACGCACTATGCAGTAAAGCTCATGTTTACTATTCTAATTGACATTTATTTAGTTGTATATAAATCCACGTCAAAAGTTATTCAATATGCAGTAAAGCTCATGTTTACTTTTGGAATTGGATTTATTTAGTTGATATAAAACTCATGTTATACGCACTATGCAGTAAAGCTCATGTTTACTATTCTAATTGACATTTATTTAGTTTGTTCTAGATCACTAGGAAAGGCCATATCATCAAGCGGCTTGTCACTTCAAGAGCATGAATATGATTGCTTCTGCCAGGGACTTTGATAGTTATATCACATGGGGAAGAGTTGGCTCATTTCCCTTCTCCCAATCCATAGGCATAGTAGAATTGGTGAGCATCCCATTAGATGTTTAGTGTGAATGTAATTCAATAGCCGTGTATTAGGGATACGATTAGATTGCAGGTAAACTGAAGCAGCTTTATTTTCCACGCTGGGAAATCTGGAAGGATAGTATGGTCTTTATGGGAATTTCTTCTTTGCTTTACCTTTTGTGGTTTTTACTTAAACCTTCTGTATATCATCACAGCCTGACCTCTCTGTTGCATGAGACATGCCTGGTGCTGGGTCATCAAAATAAACTTCGCCGGGTATTTATAAGTGCATAGTTCTGGTCCGTGTTGTGTCTTAGGATCGTGATGAGTTGGTTTGATGTTAGCTGGAGGAAAAGGAGTTCATATGTCAGGCATTACGTAAGAGAGTGGTTTCATCACTGTGCTTGGTTGCCATAATGATGTAACTTTCTAAAGTGATTTACATGGTTATCTGTTGTCAGTGGAAAAAACCTTCACCTGATTATGATCCTTTTCTCCAAGATTGCAAACAACTGATTTGCGATTTATAAACTCTCTGAAGTACCTTATCTTTAGCTTAAGGTATTGCAATCAATGATTCAATATGCTGATGACATGTTGAATTCTGGAGGAAGCTTAGAGGATGAGATGATTGTTCATTGTAACTTACCTCAGACTCTGGTTCCTTTGTATAGGGAGGATCTATCAATCTCAAGCAGACTGTAATTCTCCTTTCAGACCTGTGGAGTGTATAGTGCATTAGCCAAAAGAAGGGGGGGGGGACGGCAATATTTTAAGTACTATGAAATTGTATGTAGAAAGCTTATATCAACTGAGTATGATCAATGAGTGCGCAGATCCTATATTACCTTAGATTATATAATCCAGGAATTATACAAGCACATCTCATCGGAGGTTCTTTCATTCCAAGTGTTTACCGCAAAAGATAGAAAATTGGCCAGTGTTATTTTAATCATGTCAGTTCTTCTGAAGAAAGAAAATTGCAACTCATCTCTAGGTATATATCACTTCTTTGGTAATGTGTGTGCAGTTCTGACTACATGAGATGAATCTTTTTGTATTATTAACACAATTTGGAACCTCTCCACTACAAAAACATAGTGGATAGACCACTAATTTTATTCTCAGCCCTTAATTATTTAGTGGGTGATTGTGATACCTTCTAAATCTAACACTCACCATAACCCCGTGTAATGCACTCAAAGAAGAAATCATAACCATCCACTAGATAATTAATGGCTGTGATTAAGTAGTGATCCATCCACACCTTTTTTTTTGTAGTGGAGAGGAACTGAATCCTTATTAACATGCATTATCAGTATTCTTCTAATATAGTTATGCAGATATAGTTATCACTTTACTTAGCTTTAGTTTTAGTAGATCTTCTCGTAATTTTTTTGGGGTGCTTTGTTGAAGTTGTCAAGGATATATTTATGATTTTTTTTCTACATCCTGCAGATTGTGAATTTGCATACAAACAAAGTAGCCAGGATTCTTGGGAAGTTGGAGAACAATGACAGGTTTCTAAGAATTTCTTTGTATCAAAGCGATAGGAGCAACAAAAGGATAAGAAAGATTCCTACAGCAGCACTAAACGTCAATGAGAGCAAAGACCCTTTGACGGACCCTACTCTCCTTTGTTGTGCCTTTAAGAAACATAGAATTTACTTATTCAGGTATAAAACATGTCTGAATTATGGGAGTAATTGTTCTCAGTTTTCTCTTCAAGCGTCGATTGATCAGTAGTCATAGATAATTAATTATGATTGCATAAATTATTAAAGTTCAGGCTATACTTAATTAAACTTCAAAATTATTACAGTACATGATGATGAATTATCTTAAGGCATTAACTGATACATATCAAGCGTTCTCTGCAGTATGCATTTAACCAGATTCTAAGGTTCACTCGTAAATATGGAAAAGAAGTTTTGTCGATTGTAAATCGTATTTTCCATGACAGTTTATTATAATATAACAACTTGTGAAATCTGGCATGGATTTTGAGTTTTCCTCTTTCTTTATGTCTTTAAATAGCCGTAGAGAACCTGAAGAAGCAGAAGATGCAACAAAGGGAAGGGATGTTTTCAATGAAAAGCCACCTCCGGAGGAACTTCTGGCAGCTTCAGATTTAGGAAAAGCCGTGACAACATCTCTTCCTGATAGTGTTGTAAGTTTCTCTCCTTTTTGAATAACCTGTCTTGTTTTGTCTTTTATTTTTCTTTGTGGTTGTAACCTTGTTTGCCTCTTTCAGCAGTACAGTGAATTTTAGTCATTGTATCGATATATAAACACTTGGGCAGATATATTATATGATGTTCTAGTTAGTACGTTTCTATGTCTTACCAACTGCATACAATCAAGGGCGAAGCTACGTTGTCGATAGCCCCCCCGGCCAAAAAAAACAAACATTTGTTTTGGTCACATTTAGATTTGCCCATTAGTCCCTTCAACATTTATTATTCTGAAATTAGTCCCTCAAGCATTGAAGTTGATAGTATGCCCCCCAAATTCTTAAGTTAATTTAGAATATGCCCCTCAATCATTGAAATTGCTATTCGGTTCAAGAAGTGTTAAATTAATCATGAGAATTGGAGGACCTAATAATGGTTTCAAGATTTGAGATACTAGTTTCTGGAACATAATAGAAATTTTAATAATTGGCAAGGACAATTCCAAATTTAAAGAATTAAAGGAGTAATATAAAAATTTCTTTTTCACGAAATAAATAGGAAACATTATATGTGTCTTTGGATTCTGGGCCCCCCAAAGATAAAATTCCTGGTTCCGCAATAGTTTACTGTACCTCTTAATTAATGCTTTCGACAGAAATACTGCTATTTTTATGTCGCGCACACTGTTCATAAAAAAATCATCGAGTATTTCTAACAGGGATGCTTAAATTTTAGGTGTTGCATACATCACTTGGTGATATTCACATGAGATTGTACCCTGAAGAGTGCCCGAAGACTGTTGAAAACTTCACTACGCATTGTAGAAATGGCTATTATGACAATCTGATCTTCCACAGAGTAATTAAAGGATTCATGATACAAACGGGCGATCCTTTGGGAGATGGTACTGGTGGACAATCTATATGGGGAAGAGAATTTGAAGATGAGTTTCATAAAAGGTAATTTATTGTTCTAAAATTTTTTCTGATAACTAAGTTTTTTAAATACTTAAAATATAATAGTAAGAAGATCTCTCAGCAGATCATTTCCTGGACTGATTAATGATGGTGTGTATGATTTTTTTAGTAAAAAGATTATCAAGTTGGCTTTTATAAATTTGAATAAGGATTTTAGCAGACGAGTTTGTTGGTTTTCTGGAATATAAAACTTTGGAAGTTGCTAAATGTAGCATAAGGCTTCGTGTAATATAGAAAAATTGAACAGTGATAGTTTTCAATGGATGCAAAATAGAAAGACGCAAGTTATTCAAAATTTTTGAAAATTGGTTTTCAGAAAGCATACGAGGAAGTTGGCAGTTTGTAGACCATTAAAAAGTTGTACCTCTCCTGTAAAATTAAGAGTAATGAAGGAACTGAGTTTTCTAATAAAGTGTGCGGAGAAAGGAATTTGACATTAAGCTGATCTCTCCTTAGTAATTGCACTAATTCGAAAATAAGAAAGTAAGAGCTTACTGAAATCAGAACAAAGAAACTTATTAAACATGGATCAGAATGATTTCCTATAGTAAACCCTCAAGTTACCAGTGGATAAGAGTACCTTAAACTTGAATTTGACCTTTGAGTTCTTTATTAAGTATGTTGGCTTTAGAAGACCAATGAAAGCAGTAACTAGAGATTTTACAAAGTTGGACTTTTGCCAAATACACATGGTGCCCTATCATAGCTTGTACACAATTACAACATGAATCCGCTATATTTTCAAGGACACATTTCTGCCCTTGACTAAATAAGGTACTTTCAACTCAAGATATGGTTTAAGAATATGAAAGTTCTGTTGGAGAAACTCAGGATTGAGCTGCCATTAACTAGAACTTATTGGAACAAAGACCAATGAATAGAAGTATTGTGGGAACCAAACCCAAATTCGTTCTCAGGATGTTTGTAACCCGGGATGGACTTCCAACAAAACAAAAATAGGATTAGAAGTATTTTATAAATGAGAATTTTCTGTGAGGAAGTGCCTTTTGAGCAATTTACCTGAAACTAGTATTTATGGGAGTGTTTAAGATGGTCCTGATGGTATTGCTAGAAATTTTAGGTATAGTACATAGAAAAGTTCCCTCAACCAGGTTAGCTGATTTCAAGGTGAAGGGGAAAGAACTATGATAAGCTTGATAGGTGTAAGTACTCGTATTCATTTTTTATCCTGAGAGGGTCAGGGAGTTGTAGATGTAAAAGATAACATGATAAAAATATGAAGAAAATATGGATGAATTCTTAGGAACACTGGAACCAGCATTTCGTTGAAGTTGGTGTGCGAGCATTTGCAAAAGCAACCCCATGTGAACAGTCTCGGCATCCATGACCAGGTCCACTTCACTGTCATATGATTGAGTATCTTGCCTTCCACTCTTATGTATTTTCATCTTTATGTTTTATTCTCTATCGATCATGTTTTATAATTGTTCCATTTAATCAATCATATATTCCTTGACACTTGTAAATTTTTTTGGGGGCTTATATTGAGTTTTTTTTAATCCTTGCAGTTTGAGGCACGACAGGCCTTTTACTCTGTCAATGGCAAATGCAGGGCCAAATACCAATGGTTCTCAGTTTTTTATAACCACAGTGGCCACTCCATGGCTGGATAATAAGCATACTGTTTTCGGCAGAGTTGTGAAAGGGATGGACGTGGTTCAGGTAGGAAACTCACAAACTTCTCTTAAAGTTGAGTCGTTTTTTACCGCTCAATCAACTAGCGTTATAATTATGCCGCTATTTCCGCAGGGAATTGAAAAGGTTAAGACGGATAAAAATGACAAGCCGTATCAGGATGTAAAGATCTTGAATGTTACTGTTCCGAAGTCCTAAGCACCGGCAATGGCTGGTGGTTGGTTCTCCATGTTATTTACGAGTGAAACTCCACGCTCTCAGAAAACGGCCTGCTGTGTAAAAATTTTCTGCCTTCTGTGGTCTTGAGATATCTTTTGGCTACTTAGAGGATAGTACTCAATGCAATATGCTCTTATGTTTCGTCTCAGGATATTAGGTTGCTGGTCGTTTCACCTTTTCCCCCATGTTAGGTGCCTAGAGGAAATTTCTTGTTTATTTATGTTTTCTGTACTCTGTTGTAAGGATCGCGGTACCTTTACTGAAAATGTAGTGAGTTGTACTCGTCAGTTTGATTCTTTGCGCTTAACAGTGGGCCTGATCGGATATGATTATATTCAGCCAGCATTATCTGGTTCCACTTCAACTCGTTTTTCTCACTCTCATTTTGGTGTCAGGTGTAGATATAATCACACCATTCATCATCTTCATAGACCTACCCACGGGCAGTATTTGTCAAAATTGGCGCCTGTGGTCTCCCTTTGTTATATCGATGCTGGTTTCTTTAAAATATAATTGGTTGTGTTTTGGTCGACTTATAACGGTGTTCGTGTACATAACGGCTGAGACTGGGATGTTTGATCTTGTGAAGTTGGAGGTACTGAACATTGATGCAACCCCAATTGCGGGAACTGGAACATGTGCGTCTGCATTTTGGTGAGTCTTGAAGTTGAATGTAAGCGGACGTTTAGCTGATTAGTTTATGCCTATAAATTTATTGATTTGAGATCTTGTCAGCAAAATGAGATTGCATTATATATTTCTTGGTAAAAGTGAGCTGTGTTGTGGAAGCTCTTAGGTCGAGAGGAGATACCAAAAGAAGGGAAATTTATAAATGTTTTTTTGTATATAATATGATGTTTATAGCACAAACAGTTTGGTAAAAGAATTAGCCTAAAATTAGTATCATCTCTGGTCAAACTCAAAAATCATGAGAGTTACTGAATGAGAGTGGACAAGGTTTTACACTGATAATGCAAATAACTACTCAGTTTTTCTAACGGGTGTTCATGTGCAATCATTAGGAGATGAAAAAGAGAGAAATGATTAACAAGTTGCTTTCCCACTGATTCCCTCTAATTTCTTTTCTCACCTCTCTCTCTCTCTCTCTCTCTCATCTTTTAACGAGTGTTCAAAAGCATTCGTTAGAAAAACTAATAATTATTATTATTTTTAAATATGGTGCACCTTGTTGTTCTCTTGAATTAGAGTTGTGTGGATGGTACCATCTTGTTCTTCTTTTGAAAATTACAACTTCTACACCTCAACTCTTTGAGCCAAGCATGTACTGTTTTTTTTCCCCTCCCTTGAGCATTGTGTAATGCACAGACCAAGGGTTTAAACTACATTCCTACGTAATTTGAGCACAGGTTGTAGCTAGCAGATAGTAATACCGAGTCTCGGGTCCGGCGGTAAATCCGACACCTAACTCGGCCACGCCCAAACAGAAGTGCATTCACGCACCAACCCTATTATGACAATTGGCAATAACGCACTGACTTTTTCCAAATCCTTCTAGAGTATTAAAATAAAATAAATTCCTCAACTTACTCACCTCCCTTTTGTTCACCCGCCCCTACCCCGTGAGTGACTGCCGGGACCCAATTGGCCAATAAACATTTTTGACATAAAAGGGGGTTTAGTAAATTAATATCAAATGCCCTCGTGGCCGGTGAGACATCATGGCTACTCAACGGACCAACTTTTGCCGCGTGTAATCAACAGTGGAATAATAACCCTGTCTTCTTCCCAATAAAAATCACAGCCAATGCCACCAAATCGCCCGCAGCCTCTTTCATAATAAAAGAAAATAAATAATCCTCTCTCATAATCTTCACCATCGTCATCATCTTCAACGTTCTTCTTGGATTCCGATAGATCGATCGATCGATCCATGGCGGACGCTAAACACTTCAAGTACATCATCCTCGGCGGCGGAGTCGCTGGGGTGAGTTCAGATCTAACTTCTTCTTTTAAATCTCGGATTCTGAACGATCTTCTTTGTTCATGGAAATGTTGATAAAAGATCCTTTGATTTTTGTTTTGTTTTGTTTTGTAGGGATACGCAGCTCGGGAGTTTTCGAAGCTAGGTCTGAACCCAGGCGAGCTGGCAATCATATCCAAGGAAGCGGTATGAATTTCAATTCTCAAGACTGCCTTTTCGTACCGATTGTTCTATCTTGATGGATTAGTTTTATGTTATTAAGAGTTTCTTTAATCAGTCTGTTAGTAAAATAATGAAGGAGAGAGAATTTCTGATGTGTGGAACACTTTTTTTAAAAGAAATATTTGCCCCACTTTAAATTGAAAGTTGCTTTCCCAGGAAACAACAAAAAATAAAAATTCCAGCAAGCAAATCTAGAATTTTCCATCAAACTCTTTGTGAAACAAGTTTGTAGTATTACAGTATCTTGATCAAGAGAGAGTTTTCTCTTTGATCTTTTCTTTGTAACCTCGAAAAGGAATATAAATGAATTGGACGTCGTCGTTGCACCGTGGAGTAGCTTCGTAAGAGTGAAACATATTACATCTATGAGTACTGTGATTGAATATGTGTCCGCTGACTTTATTCTGTGATTCCACGTTCGTTTGGGTGTGTATTGCATCTCTGTTCGAGACGTTCTTGTTGGCGTGTATCCTAACAACTGGCATCAGAGCGACATGTTGGAGATCCAAGTTATAGGATAATGTGGCTATATCAACAACCGAAGTCGAGTACGTGTCTGCAACAAAGGCAGCAAAAGAGTTGCTATGGTTGAAAGCTTTTCTTCTCGAGCTTGGGGTAAGTTTTGAAAAATACTTCATCCACGACGACAGTCAGAGTGTCATTCACTTGTCAGAGAACGATGTATTTTATGCTCGGATCAAGCATGTTGACGTGAAACATTATGCCATACGAAGATAGCAAAGCAGGAACGAGTTCAAGCTTATAAAGATTGATACGAGGTATAATCCAGTCGATATGCTGACCAAGCCAGTTCTATGCGGTCTCATATGACCTCCGTTGAGAACGTTGAGGGTCGTGCAAGACGTCAAAATACAAGATATCCGGATGATGCAACAAAGAATTGTGTGAAGATATGATTGACACTCAATCAAATCTTCAAGTGGGAGATTGTTAGTCGAAAATATTAACAAATTAAAAAGAGGTGGGCCCAACAAACCGAAAAAGATGTTTGCCTAAATTTAGACACCGTCTCATAGCAAAATTTTAGTTAAAATTTTAAAAAAATAAAGTAGCGGGCCCCACTACAAGAAAAAATAATATAAAATTAGTGTATAGTATTTTTTCAGCCACTATAAATAGGCACAAAACTCTTCAGAAAAAATCATCCCAGAAAAAACTCCTCATATAAAAGAAATGTGGAATCATAGAATAAAATCAGTAGACACAAATTCAATCACAGTACTCACAGATATAACGTGGTTCATTCTTACGGAGCTACTCCACGGTGCAACGACGACGTTTAATTCCTTTATATTTCTTTTCGAGGTTACAAAAAAAAGATCAAAGAGAAAACTCTCTTTTGATCAAGATACTCTCCAAAAATTCTCACAAGCTCTATGTTTTCTCACTCTTTTATATGAGAAGTTGTTTCTGAGATAATTTTTTTGAAAAGTTTTGTGCTTATTTATAGTGGCTGGAAAAATAATATGTATTAATTTTATATTATATTTTCTTGTGGTGGGGGTCCGTCACTTTATTTTCTTCAAACTCTGCCTAAAATTTTGCTCCGGGGCGATGCCTAAATTTAGGCAAATGTATCTTTCGGTTTGTGGGGCCTACCTCTTTTTAATTTGTCAATATTTTTGATTAATAATCTCTCACTTGAAGATTTGATTGAGTATCAATCATATCTTCACACTATTCTGGGTTGCATCATTCGGATGTCTTATATCTTTGACATCTTGCACGTCTCTCAACGTTCTTAACGGAGACCATATGAGGCTGCACACAGCCTCACCTTCTTGAGCGGAACTGGCTTGGTCAGCATATCGGCTGGATTGTACCTCGTATGAATCACACTATTTTGGAACGCGTCAGAAGTATGAAGATCCATTCCAGATTACCCGAGAGTTTTTAGGCCGATGTTGTGAGTACTGCTGCATACTTGATCAACAGCGGGCCATCCGCGACTCTTAATTATGTGATGCCTAAAGAGGCTTGGACTAAAAAAAGCTGAAGCTAAAGCAGTTACGAGTATTTGGTTGTGACGCCTATGTCATGATCAATCCTGCAGACCGGTCAAAGCTTAATCCAAAGTCAAAGAAGCTCTCTTTCATCGGCTATGGAGGAGATGAGTATTAGTACCATTTCTGAGATCATGATTCGCGCAAGATGGTGCGCAGTCGTGACATCGTTTTCTATGAGGATGTAGTGTACAAGATCAAAGAGGAGTGAGAGCTAACTATCTTTTCCTCTTTTTTTAGATATTGCTTACAGTGAGGACGACTGTGATATACCAATCAACATAGAAGACAGAGACCAAGAAAACACACTGGATGCACAGCAGCATGATTCAACAGAGCTATCGATCGCAGTTCGTAAAGCTCTACGGAATCAGATGGTGCTAGAGAGGTACCTTTTCACCATGAATTATCTTCTCCTGACTGACAATGATGAGCCAGAGAGCTATGAGGAGGTACAGCAAACCAGCAAAGCTCGGGGTGAGTGAGAGTCTATCATGGAGGAAGAAATGAAATTCTTGACGAAAATAGGACTTGGGAGCTCGTAAAGCTTCTAAGAGGGTGAAAGGCTTTTCACAATCGGTGGATTTATCATGTCAAGGATGAAGCCGATGAACAAAGACGCTACAAGGCGAGATTTGTAGTGAAGGACTATGAGCAGAAAACAGAGATAAACTATTTTGATGTTTTCGGTCCCGTCGTCAAGTTGACCACGATCCGGACTATGCTGAGCATTATGGCAGTTCGAGATCTCCATCTAGAGTAGATGGATGTGAATACATCATTCCTTCATGGAGATTTGGAGGAGGATATCTATACACATCAACCAGTAGATTTCGAGGAACGAGGCAAGGATGGCCTCGTGTGTCGCTTGCGCAAGAGCTTGTATGGCCTGAAGCAAGCTTCACGACAGTGATACATGAAGTTCGAGAACTTTATGGAGAAGAACGGTTTTCTCAAATGCGACACAGACCATTGCTTTTTCATCAAGATGTATGTCGAGTTCTATGTGATATTCTTGATTTATGTTGATGACATGTTGATTGTTGCGTCCGACTTGGTTCACATTGAGGAACTCAAGGGGCGTCTCTCCGAGTGCTTCGAGATGAATGATCTGGGTCCAGCAAACCCGATTCTTAGGATGAGGTTTATCAGAGATAGATCAACATGTAGACTGAGGTTGTCTCAGAAGGTCTACATTGAGAAGATATTTGAAAAGTTCGGCATGGAGAAAGCTAAACCCGTAGACTCATCGTTTGCGAGTCATTTCAAGCTATGAAAGACCCAAGCACCAGAGACTGCTGAAGAGCATGAGTTCATGGTCAACATACCTACGTATCTACTGTCGAGAGTTTGATGTATGCGATGGTGTGCACGAGGTCAGATATTCCTCAGGGAGTGGGAGTTGTGAGCCGTTTTATGAGCAATCTAGGGAAGCACCATTTGGGTGCGGTCAAGTGGCTTCTACGCTATTTAAGATGATCGTCCGACCTTTGTCTTGAGTATGACAATGCGGTTTGCAGCTAAAGGGTTTTTATGATGCAGACTATGCTGGGGACATAGACTCAAGAAGGAGCACGAGCGGTTACATCTTTATCTTGGGTGGTGGAGCGATAAATTAGAGATCCAAGTTACATGATATTGTGGCTATGTCGATAACAGAAGCCGAGTACATGTCTGCAACAGAGGTAGCAAAGGAGTTGCTATAGTTGAAAGCTTTTCTTCTCGAGCTTGGGGCAAGTTTTGAGAAGTATTTCATCCACTGCGGCAGTCATAATGTCATTCACTTGTCAGAGAATGACGCATTTCATGTCCGGATCAAGCATGTTGATGTGAAACATCATGCCATACGGAGATGACAAATCAAGGAACGAGTTCAAACTTGTGAAGATTGATACGAGGTACAATCCAGCTGATATGCTGATCAAATCAGTTCCGCTCGAGAAGGTGAGGCTGTGTGTAACCTCATATGACATTCGTTGAGAACGTTGAGGGCAGTGCAAGACGCCAAAGGTACAAAACATACGGATGATGCAACCAAAAATTGTGTGAAGATATGATTGATATTCAATCAAATATTTAAGTGAGAGATTGTTAGCCGAAAATGTTAACAAATTAAAAAGGGGTGAGCCCCACAAGTCGAAAGAGACGTTTGCCTAAATTTAGGCATCGTCCCAGAGCAAAATTTTAGGCAGAGTTTGAAGAAAATAAAGTGGCGGGCCCCACCACAAGAAAATAAAATATAAAATTAGTACATAATATTTTTTCAGCCACTATAAATAGGCACAAAACTCTTCAGAAAAAAGCATCCCAGAAACAACTCCTCATTTTATAAATCATAGCGGCCAGATTCTCTTCTATCATATTTGCACAAACCTTTGATTTTGCATTATTATTATTTTTATGACGATATTCTTTAGCAAAATGTTCAGGCTTTCCGCAAATAAAACAGGGCCCCTTTTTCTTCTGAAATTTTTTCTTTTTAAAGTGTTGTCCATTTTTCTTTACTTGAAGGTTCCTATTTTTCATAGAAGATTCGTCCTTTTCCACTATATGAACCTTAGAATCATTTTGGACAGAATTTTTCGAATCACGTAAGCGTGACTCCTCTTCAATTCGAAGATTTTTATGAAGCTGTTCCAAAGAGATATCCTCAGTTTTATGCATTAGCTTTTTCGAGTAATTTTTCCAAGATGCGGGTAGTTTTGTAATAATTGCAGCAACTTGAAAAGATTCTGAAATAACTATTTTAAGAACATGAATCTTATTAACCACAACCTCCAATTCATGAACTTGCTCTAGGACAAATTTGTCATCAACAATTTTATATTCTAAGCAATTAAATACTTGTTTGTACGTTCCTCCTCGGTTTGGTATTTAAATTTTAGTGCATTCCAAATTTCTATTGCTAACTTTATCCTGGTGAAAAGATCATACAGCCGG